CATGTCAAAATAAAGAACCAACTTGATTCACACTGTGTATCTGGAAGCCCTGATGCTGCTTTCCGTGGCCTTGCTGATTTAGGTAGAACTAGCTCTCGCAGACTGGATCCAAGTAGACAGTCGTTTGTGCACTGTCCGACTAAATGGAACAATAAGGACTCGGAAAGATAGAGACACCCGTCATTGCCTCTTCGTCGTCTCTGCCTATTCTCCCACTGACTGCAGCTCAGATGCTGTAAAAGATGAGTTTTATAGAAAGCTTTCCGACCTCCGAAAAGCTAGGCGCTCTGATGTAGTAATAGTGGCTGGTGACTTTAATGCTGAAGTAGGTAAACTAAGCGAAAGGGAAAGACACCTGGGAGGATCTTATGGAGTCGTGGCTCAAAGAACAGATAATGGCGACCGTCTGTTACAGCTATGCTCAGATAACCGCCTGTTTCTTGCAAATAAGCAAAAACATCTTTTAACATGGCGACCCTCGAATTCGTCCCAACGTTGGACCGAAATAGATTACATCGCTATCAGCCACCGATGGAGAGGCTCGACAGAAGACTGTCGCCCATTCTGGCACATATGCTTAGATTCAGATCATGCTCCAGTGCGAGCACGTATTTGTCTGCGTCTTACCGAACGTAGGAAAAATGCTGCAAGGAAACCTCTTAGGGCCCTAATTAATGATAATCAAGCTAAGAGTATATTTGAGGAACCACTAGGAAAACAGTTAGACAGCCATGTATGTGACGCTCACCCCGAGGCAGCATGAAATGATATCCGAAAAGCTGTGGAAACAGCAGTGATATCTGCTAATACGGTAAACCACAAGGTTAGGGAGCAACACTGGATCTCAGCAGCATCTATCGCACTGATAGATGCTCGAAAACTCATTCCATCTGGCTCTGAACATAACGACGAGCGGAGTCAGCTTAAGCGCAAGCTGACAAGAAGTCTACGCAATGATCGCGAACAGTGGTGGGTAGCGAAAGCAAGAGAGATGGAAAAGGCAGCGGCAATAGATAATCGCAGACAATTGTTCAGACTTGTTAAGGAAACCGGTATTAGGAACCCGACTGTTAGCGAAACAATCTCAGAGAAAGATAGACATATTATTTATTCTCAATCCAGGAGATTGGATCGATGGGCAGAACACTCTAGGGATTAGTTCAACTGGCCTTCAGCCACACTTCGGTTTCCCACGATCTCCAGTCAACCTGAATGGCAAGTTAATGTAGGTCCTCCGACTCTATATGAAGTTGAAAAAGCTATAGGAAATCTGAAGCGAGGGAGAGCAGCAGGCCCTGACAGGTTTACTCCTGAGATTTTTAAGGATGGTGGTCCAGTATTAACAGTGAGATTGACTGAGGTCTTAGGTAGAATTTGGGAACTGGACGTAATCCCATCTGACTGGTCTCAATCACTGATTGTGCCAGTCTATAAGAAAGGACAAAAGTCCTCTTGTGACAATCACAGGAATCAGTTTGACTAATATAGTGTCTAAAATATTAGCTTCAATAATACTTCGACGCCTAACTAAAGCTCGTGAAGAGCAAACTAGAGTAAACCAGGCCGGTTTTCGACCTGGACGTGGTTGTATAGACCAGATATTCACACTACGTCAGGTTCTAGAACACAGACACACATTCAGACGCCCCACAATGGTAGTATTTCTCGACCTTAAGGCGGCATTTGACTCTGTTGATCGTGAGGTTCTATGGCAGTGTTTGTCACTGAAAGGAGTACCAAAGAAGTATATTAACCTCCTAAAGGCTCTCTACTCGAACACAACTGGTAGAGTAAGAGCTTATGGTGAACTGTCATCAGAATTGATTACCTCAAGTGGTGTTCGTCAGGGTTGTCCACTCTCCCCATTCTTGTTCAACTTTGTGGTCAATGTACTTTTAGAGATAACAATCTCCTCATCTAAATTTCCAAGGGTTGAACTTGTACCAGGAGGTTCACTTGTTGACTTAGAATATGCAGATGACATAGTTTTATTTGGTGAAGACGCTGACAAAATGCAGAGTCTTCTGACCACTCTGAGCAACAATGCAAGCATGTTCGGCATGCGATTCTCTCCCTCGAAATGCAAAATGTTGCTTCAGGATTGGGTTACATCGACACCCGAACTAGTGACAGGGAGTGAAGTAGTTGAGTGTGTCGACCGCTTCACTTATCTTGGAAGTCTCATCAGCCCTTGTGGTTTAGTGTGTGACGAAACCTCAGCACGGATACAGAAGGCTGGACTAGCTTTTGCCAACTTGCGTCATTTATGGCGTAGGCGAGATATCCGTCTATCAACCAAAGGACGTGTTTACTGCGCAGCAGTTCGTTCCGTCCTACTTTATGGCAGTGAAACATGGCCGGTAAGAGTAGAGGATATTCGTAGGTTACTAGTATTCGATCATAGGTGTCTTCGAAACATTGCTCGTATATCCTAGGTCCATCGAGTAAGTAACACAGTTGTTAGGAAACGGGTACTAGGTAAGGATGGCAAATAAATTGATGAAGTAATGTAACCTCATCAGTTGAAATGGCTGGGACACGTTACGTATGCCCAACCACCAACTGACCCGACGTGCGATGTTTTATGATGTAGGAGTAGGTTGGAAGAAAGCTAGGGGCGACCAGGCCAAAGCGTGGCACAAATCCATAAAGTCACTATCAGGTGGACTGAGCCATGTTGGTAGAAGTAGAGTACCTGGTTGGGATCCGCGAGATGGTAGCAACCGATGGTTAGAAACCTTGAATGATATGGCTCAAAATAGTTTGCAATGGCGCAGGTGCATCCACTCTTTGTGTTCTCCCAAATTCTTCATGTCATTTTTTTCCTCTTTCCAAATTTATTTCACTGGATTATACTTCTTGAATAACATCTTCAAACCCTAATCTTCCCGATTACTGCTTATACTCTTATTACCTCTACCACTACGGGATTTGAATCGACCACTGCATCTCTGTGCTAATGTGGTGTGGCAACTCGAACTGATGTACGTACGTACGAAGTTTTACGTTGTTACTGACTGACTGATCCACCAAATGAGGTGGAAGTCTGCAAGGAACTCCAACTCTTGAAGCGCCACAAATCACCGGGTCCAGATGACTTAAATCCGGGTCCTTTTGAAGATGGTGGTGACTTTCTGGCTAAGGAACTGACTATATTGTTTACAAAGGTCTGGGAACTAGAGAGTGTACCAACATCATGGAATGAGTTGATAGTTGTCCCTATCTTTAAAAAGGGTTCACATCGTTCCTGTAACAACTATCGGGGGATAAGTCTACTTCCGATCTCGTCCAAGGTATTGACTTCCATCATACGTCGTAGGTTGTTCAAAACCCGAGCAAGATTGACTGGCGAGGAGCAGGCTTGTTTTCGTTCTGGTCGAGGATGTATTGATCACATCTTCACCCTCTGCCAAATGTTAGAACACCGCCATACTTTTCAAAGGCCAACAATCGTAATGTTTCTTGACATCAGGACTGCCTTCGATTCGTTGGATAGGACTGTTCTCTGGGATTGTCTATTGAAGAAGGGTGTGCCTGAGAAGTTTATTAACATCCTAAAAGCCCTATATACAAACACCTCAGGCAGAGTGAGGGCATACAACCACCTCTCTCCATTGTTCCATTCGAGCAGTGGGGTTAGACAGAGTGCCCAATCTCACCATTCCTCTCCAACTTTGCCATCGATGGCATTCTAGAAACAGCTCTGATGGATGTAAGTAATGGTGGTGTGGATCTGCTGCCTGGAGAAAGACTTCTCGACCTTGAGTATGCGTATGATATTGTCTTACTGTACGATAATGTCTAAGCGATGCAATCCGTACTTAATCAGTTGGCAATCAATGTCCGTAGGTATGGTATGTGCTTTGCACCTTCGAAGTGCAAAGTACTTCTACAAGACTGGCAGGATCCTAATCCTGTGCTCACCCTGGATGGTGAGCAGATAGATGTAGTCGAGAAGTTCGTGTATCGAGGTGGCTGCATAAGTGCTGGTGGGGGTGTGAGTGATGAGATTAATGCACGTATAGTGAAAGCCAGAGCGGCTTATGCCAAACTGGGCCACCTTTGGCGCCTTCGTGATGTCAGTCTGGCTGTACAAGGTCGGATTTACAGCGCGTCGGTGAAAGCAGTTTTGCTCTATGCTTGTGAAACCTGGTCTCTCCGAGTTGAGGACGTTAGACGACTCTCTGTGTTCGATCATTGTTGTCTCCGAAGGATTGCTGACATCCAGTGTCAACACCATGTTAGTAATGCAGAGGTTCGGCATCGTGTTCGGGCACAGAGATGATAATGCAATTGGTGTCACCATCCTGAAACACCGACTTCGGTGGCTTGGACATGTTCTACGAATATCGTCTCAGACAATTCCACGTCGTGCATTATTTGCCGACGCTGAGACTGGTTTGAGGAAGCGGAGAGATGATCAGTGTATGACATGGTGTCGAGGTATGAAAGAAAGTTGCAAAGGGCTGGCTTGTGTTGGTCCTTCACGACTCCCTGGTTGGGGTCCGAGAGATGGTGCAACACAGTGGCTGGAGACGTTATCAGATATGGTTCATAATAGAAGCCAGTGGCGATCCTGCTGTAACCCTTTACTTTCTTCATAAAGAAACATGATTGTTTCTTCCTTAACTGTAAGATTTCTTCTGATTGTACCTTTCCGTCTCCCTCATTATTATTATTATTATTATTATTATTATTATTATTATTATTATTATTATTATTATTATTATTATTATTATTATTATTACACTACCTTACACTAATCTGGTCGTTATTGTTCTTCTTTTTCTGTTTCTTTCACACTTCTTACTTTTCTTTCTCTTCCCATTCTCTTTGTTTTTTGTGGCGCATATATATTTGGTGCCCCCTTATACCAATATTTGTGTTCAAATAAATAAATTTCTAAGTGCTAGCGACCATAGTCAGAAATATCGTTTTGTACTTGTATTTTGATTTGTTGACTAGTCTGTATGTCATGTTTAAAACCCATATTTTTGTAGGAAGCAAACTCTGGTGGTACAAGGGAAAAGAAAAGAGATGATTCTGATAAGGAAGACGGCGAAAATTCACGTTTTCAACTTCAGTTGCAAGGAGCGATAGTGACTGAAAAACCTAATATCAGCTGGGATGATGTCATTGGTCTACAGTCAGCAAAGGAAGCTTTGAAGGAAGCGGTGATTCTACCTATAAAGTTTCCACACCTGTTCACTGGAAAGCGTACTCCTTGGAGAGGGATTCTTCTTTACGGCGTAAGTCGTACCATTTATCCAAACCTCAATTAAAACAGTTTTTGATGTTAACGCCTCATCCAAAGATTGCTTCTAAGTGCAAAATTAATGTAACTAACAATGTACACTTACTTGTCTTCGACTTTACACTACATGTGTTAAAATGAAAGATATTTTCCGGCTATTCAAATGAAGATGTATGAAAAGACATTTTAGCTCGTGACTGGGTGGTTGACAGATGATATTAAGGTTTTCTAATTTAATTCAGTACATGGTTGTTTTGCAACTATGGCGTGTTACTACAATTGTATGGTGCTTTCAGATCTTGGTAAACAAACTACTCTATTTTGGGCGTCAGAATTGTAGTAAGTTTAAGTTTGTTATCACGTTGGAGGAAAGATATAACTCACTAAATCATTTATATTTCTCGGTTGCGTAATTTCGATCTTACACTTTTTTGTAAATTTTACTCATACCGTAAGTCACTGATTCGCCAGCTGAAAGTTCTATTCGGTTGATTCTCTTCAAAATTTGACTATCAATGTAAATAAACTTACTGAAATCAGTTTATTGTGGGTAGTCTATCTATATCAAAATATCGTCAAAGCAATTTGAAAGAAATCTAAGCTAGTCGGATTAGTGTGGAGGAGCTGCTTTCATCTCACTCATGATATTCAGATTAATTCTAAGTGTTGAATCACATCTCATTAGTCCAAAATAAGTGTTTTCCTTCCGAAATTTCCGTTATGAAGTCTAAATACCATATTTATCAGTTACATTCAGCACGAAACGAAACAAATAAATGACATTGAGTCTGACTCAAAAGCTTATTGCTTCAGGCTATCACAACTAAGTAAAATGAAAATCAAAGGAATAACAATGCATAATATCAATGCTAGTGGAAAACTAAAATAAGAAAGAAATTTAAAGTTGGTGAAAGGGATAAAATCAGTGAGTAAAAAGTATTCTATGATATTACGCCTATCTTATGGACTCCAACTAACAAGTCTTCATTTCCTTACAAAACTACGGGCATCGGATGCAACAACACTTCTCAAGTTGGGATCGGAGTGTGTTAAAAGTAGCTTTGAGCTACGCATTGATTTGACTTTGTTGAAAGATGCTTGACATTCTGCTGACCATTGCCAAGGTTTGTCATTTATAGTAATTCATTCAGAGGACCTCTTACTCGATTCATTTCAGGCAGAATTGTACTCTAATGACCAGTTAATCCCAAGAAGGATCTTGATGAAGGAACGTCAGTTGGTGCAGGCATCTTCTATGTTGACAGGGTCTGGTTGAGGACCGTTCTTATCCAAGATGAAATCAAGGCATTTGATCGAATACCTGAAGATACACTTTTTTTCATATCGTTGGAAACCATAGTCCATCACTCGGTTAAAAGCTTGATATAGTCGATCAGAAAGTTCGCTGTCAGTTGAACCCATAACTATGATATCATCTAGATGAGCTGCTGTACCAGGCACACCTATTAGCATCGTATCCATTATTTGCTTAAAGATGACAGGTGCAGTCTTAATGCCAAATGGTAGGCGGGCATATTGAATTAACTCGATGAGTGTTGATAGTCATTGGCGGTTTCCCAAACAGGTTATACGTTTCTCTAGAAACTAGGGTGATATCGAGTGTCATATCAACGTGAAGACGTATTGAGGTGCCGTTAATTAAGATATTAACATACTTCCTCTAAACGTCATAGTCGGTTTGGAAAGCTGCTGCTGGAGAAAGTGATTCAGATTTGTCTTATTTCACCACTTTTCGAGGACGTTTTTGTTTCTTCTTGGGCTAGAACGTACGATTTGGTGGACAATGACCTTCATGTCTGTGTCTGTTGCACACATGACATTTATGCTTCTTAAATAAACAGAATCGTACATAATGCCAATCACCATATAACCAACAGGCAGTCATTGGTTTGTTACGAGTTATTCTCAGCTTCTGACCTTTTTTTACCTAGTAATAGCATTGATGCTACTGCAGATCAAGTTCGGATTGACTTCTTCAATTAACTCATTGTCGTGTCTGATATATTGTAGTCTTTTACACTCATCTGTCAGTGTCCTAAATGTGACGCTTGGTTCTTGATCCAGTCAAGCTAAAAGTCTGGTCCTAATCTCAGCACCTTGTGGTGACTGAAGAGCTTTGATGAATATTAGGCATTTAAATTGGTCTTCCGTCAATGAGCGTAAATTGAACCTCTCACACTCGGTTGACGACATCTGTAGAGCATCAGATTCATCGGCTTCGCGTTTCACCAAATTTAAACACTGATATCGAATACTAGACAATGAGGATGATTCACCGAATATCTCTGACGATTGAGTTACCGTCTCGAAACTGAGCTCTCGAGGTAACTTTGGCAATATATGGTCAGCATAACGTGCATGTTCATTGCTTCCCAACTTACGCATCAACAAACGAGTCTTCCACGAGTCATTTTGTTTGCAGAATTCTCCTCTAAATATGTTTTTCCAACGCTTGAATCTCGTGGGGAAAGGTATTCCCATTTTCAGGGTCATAATTGAGTTCTTAGATTCTGCCAGAAACTTCATTAAAAGAAGTACTTGAACTAGCTTATGAGCTCGAGCAGTCGATGTTAAGCTGTTGCGTCAGAGTTTCCAACGATCACAATTGTGTATCAAGTTGTTCTTGCTGTTATTGTAGTATTCGGTTGAGCTGGTCATCTGATATGGGCATCTTGAATTTTTTTCCTTTTTCCCCATCGCCACTATTATGATTTCTCTTATTACGACCCAGCTACTCATATTGCTTAGTATTTCTTGGACACTGCTTCACTTGACAAGTCCCCAAATCAGAACGCGGTTGAACAGTAATGTAATTATATTTCAAATAACAATGATGGGTGGAAGTAGGACTCTCAATAAGAAAATCGTTAGTATATTTATAATTTTTACGTAAGGTGATTCTAGAGTCTTCCCCAAGTCTCTGCCAGCGCTGATCAGGTGAGAAATAACCAATCAGCGTGCCCCAACACAATCCTATTCAGAACATGCTTTAATCCAATCTATATCCCGCTAACAATTATAAACTGAGGTAAACAAATATTAGTATCCAATTATTGTCAAGGAACAACTGTTTTATCTTTGTTATTTTTGTTACTAAACTTTTGAATGGAAAGATTAAAGTAACTATCCGTTTTTGTTGTAATGTACAACCAGTAACACTGCTGTTACACAATATTATTGCATACACATACACAATGTAAAAGGGTTACTTTAATTAGGCTTTAAGGAATTCAATTGGTTTCCGTATATTGGGTTATTTTCATGTGATCAAAAATATTTGATTTCAGTCTTTCCACCCTTATCTTAACTTTACTTGTTGTGACGGGCAGTATCCGAAATCTGATATTGATATACGGTGTGCTTCGTGTTAGCTTACCAACTGACTACTGGGCGAGAATGTATTTCTTTATTTATTTGAACACATAAATATTGGTACGAAGGGACACTGAATACATATGCGCCACACAAGTCACTTGATTTATGTGTGGGCTGTAATACTGCTCGGGTGCCCTAGACCGAAGCAGGTGGTTTTCTTAGGGAGCCACACCCGGAGCCTTCGACCTAAAGGTCTGATCCACAAGGCAGTGGAGCAACGTCAGGAGATGCAGTCCCATGGTAACCGGTGACCGACAATAGGTTCATTCACATTTTGTCCCCTCAGGATACTGGAGCCCATGTGCACCATTGGTTTGGAATCAGGGTATTCCAACTGTCCTAGGTGGACCCTCCGTGTCCACCAACCCGGTTAAAGCACCGAACATTCGCTTCTCGTCCTCTCAATTTCGTAAACAACGCCCGCGGTGCGAGGAGGCAGTGAGTAGGACTTCCCTAGCAGTGGCTGTATACGTGTGGTCATGTGAGAGCATTTCGAGTGCGAGAGCTGACTCTCCCCACCCTCGGCTGTACCAGAGCATTTGGGCTGCTGAATAAAATTCACGAATACTCATTCATATATATACCACTCCAATCCTCAGAAAATTGATCCCTTGCTTAACCATTGAATTGTACTTGATCTTTAGGCCATTTCTGATCGACTTTCCCATTAGGCTACTACTGATTGGCTCTCCCCATCACTGCTTTTAGATGCACAAATTTTCTTCTAAGTCTTTTTAATTTTCATCCTTTTGTTTAGCTATAGGCAACGTAGAGCCTGACACATATCCACATAGTTTAAATTACCTCACCATATCAGGACAGGGAGATGAAATTATCAAATTTAAAGTCAAAATAGTAGCACTGGTAGTAGTATCAGCGTATTAATAAAGAATATAAGTAGAGAATACGATTGAAGACGAAAAATCCCCGGAATAAAATATCTAAAGAAGCACTTTAAAACTAAGAATCTAAGGGAGATTAAAGATTGAATCACGGAGTTTATGAAAAGTTAGTTTATAGCATTCTCGTGTTTGTTATCTTAATTACATGGACGGTTCGTGAATTTGTTTTTCTCCATGGTTCAGGAGCCTTTTGGTGTTAATGCTTTGTTGTTTTATAATATTTGTCCAACATACTGTAATTAGTCTGTTTGAATCGCAACTTCATGGTCTCTAAGTAACGAAGTTTCTCATTTGGAAATTTAGCCACCTGGAACTGGTAAATCATATTTGGCCAAAGCTGTTGCAACCGAAGCAAACAATTCAACGTTTTTATCCGTTTCAAGCTCAGATTTGGTTAGTAAGTGGCTTGGTGAATCTGAGAAATTGGTGAGATCACTATTTGCAATGGCTAGAGAACAAAAACCAAGTATAATCTTCATCGATGAAGTTGATTCATTATGCGGGTCACGTAATGACAACGAGTCCGAGTCTACAAGACGGATAAAAACCGAATTTCTTGTTCAAATGCAAGTACGTATTCTAGACTTATGAGTTTCACATTTTATTTTACCAACATTAATGTAATAAGAGTCTAGAAAAATTGCCTTTAAATTAAAGCTAGTTGGTAAATTTTCAAACATTTAGGCTGTTGTTGTAAGAAAGATTTTAAAAATAATTGGATTATAGTGGTTTGTTTTGTCTATAAGTAATCCGCAATAATCTTTATTTAAATACACTGAAGAATAAAGTTAGGGGAGGCCAAACCAAAACGTGGGATTAGTCATTGAAGTCACTAACTTCTAGTCTGAGCCATGTTGGGAGATGCAGACTGCTTGGTTGTGGTCCGCGTGACTATCGTAACCAATGGTTGGAGACTGGGTGACGGCTCAGAATCGATCACAATGGCGTTGGTGTATACACTCTCTGTCTTCCCTTAAACTAAGAGATTAAAATCGCTTCATATATTTCTTTCTACGAACTAATTCTTTCTTCCTGTACTATATCCTTATATGCAATCTTTCTTTTATATATTACCACCTCTGAATTAACTACTTTTATGAATCCGGTGTTCACCTTGTTGTGTTAATGAGGTATGGCGACTTGGACCGATGGACATATGTGCCTGGTCCTACGTTGTAGCTGACTGACTGAAATACACTGAATAGTTCAGAATTTTTGTCTGTATATAAATCTTTCGGAACTCCCTTCAATGACTCCATCTTCGCTTGTTTGAGACGAACTTTTAAGCCAAAAATAAGTAGGCGAAACGTTTCTTGAGAGATAGTGTAATAATATTTTCAAACGAGCGGCTGTATAAAGCAGTAGAGGTGCTTTTCACGTCATTTGTATCATGCAAGCACCCACATATTCATCTTACCAGCGAAAATAACATCAATTATTTGGCTTAGGATTGTTGTGCTTTTAGTTTGCACCATTTAAAGTATGGTTTGAAATATCTCAGTAATTAAGTTTCAGATCTGCTAAGCTTAGAGTATCTGTATGCGATTGCTGTTAATGTAAACCAATAATGCTTTAGGTTTCTCTATCAAAAATGATCTAAGGGTGATATTTTCGGTAAGGAGCTATGTACGCTAACTTGGAAAATTGTGTCTACTCTTTAGATATTTTCGATATCTCTGATAAAGAAGTTGATGTGTTTTTGACATGCATTATTCTTACCATCGTTTCAGGGTGTCTGTTCGAATAATCAAAACGTCCTAGTGTTGGCAGCTACAAATACTCCTTGGACTTTAGATTCTGCTATACGTCGTCGTTTTGAAAAGCGTATATATATTCCCCTTCCTGAAACAGGTGAACGTGTTAGTATGTTCAAAACGAATCTGGGGAACATATTTCATAGTCTGGTAGAGAAAGACTTTATTGAACTTGGGGCAAGGAGCACAGGTTATTCAGGTGCGGACATATCAGTTGTTGTTCGGGAAGCTTTAATGATGCCCGTTCGGAAGGTTCAAACGTCAACACACTTTAAATATGCAAGTCTTTTTAATTGTATTAATCTTTATTATATTAATACTCATCTAACCTAAGCTCCTATATGTCATCAATTAATGAAAAAATGGTGCACGAGGTTTTAAACTACATCCACTGGTTCACCACAAAGAGTGTATGCCTGAACACAATCCTATGAGTTCTACAGGGGCTCTTTGAACTTCTAAGGCACAAGGTACATGCAATACTGAATAATACTAATTAACAACTTATTAAGTACGGTTTGGATAGCTTGTATGTGATCACTGTTAGACTGTCATCCGCGTACTCCAGGTCTAAAGCCTGTCTTGGGAACAGATTTACATCGCTATCGGATATTTTCTTCAGAACTGTTTCCAGAGTTTCATCAGTTGGAAAACTAGAAAGGAATAGTCGAGTTTGGCAAACCTATCTAATCCCGCTTTTGGAGTACAACAGTAGGGTTGGTATTATACCTTCGTTCTTCGAGATGTGTTTTTGTACACAGTTTTCAAAAGACCAGTAACACTCTCAGGGACATATGTCAGTGAATTGTACTTCTGGACCCTCTCCCCGAGATGATATTAAATTAATTCGAAGTCTTATACCTGTAGTTTCGTCTTTTTTTAATGCTGTCAGCTGTGTTAAGCCTTTGTTGTAAATATAATGATTACGCGTGAACACATTGAAACTTGATTCAAATGATTAGAGGGATAGAGGCATACTTTCTACATTTCACAGATTTGACCGAAACGGATATTGTTAATATATCAAAAACGTTTAAGTGGATGAAATAGTCACACTGTAGAACATTGACAACTACTCTTTTCTAAAGAAAAGATTATTAGGAAATTTTGTGCACTTTTCAGTTGTTTTACAGTCATTTTTTCATTTCACCAAAATGATCTTATTTACTTCTTTTTATTGAATTAAATTTGGTTGAAACATTTGCTTGTTGTCTCGATATCAGTTTCAAAACGAAAGATTAGCTAATAATATTTCCGTACAGATGAAACAGTTTGAATTGATCCGAATAGTTTGATACCAGGACTCGAAAACTGATACTCGTAATCAACGATCTAAGATGGTTAATGGCATAGTATAAAATAGGTTCCAGTTATTCAGTCCCATCTTACTCTAAGTCTTGAATTAAATGTCATCCATAACTTCCCATACTTTGATCTCATTTGTTAATATTTAAGTTTTCATTACTTGCGATATCATTTCTTATCACATGCTTCCCATCTTAGTGTCAGGTGTAGCAACCGTTGCATAAACTAATACTAGATTCTACGTTAAGAAGGACTGGTTGACTAACCGAAGTCTCTTGAACCCTAAAGAGATATCTTTTCCTATCACTTTTTTAATATGCAGTAACATTGAGATATTGGCTTTAATATGTATTGGGCTTAGACAAGCTATAAAATGGCATATGTGAAGGTTTATTTTAATCTGTTTGTATTTGAGGATTATGCGGTATCAATAGAGCTATGAATCAGTGGTTAGGTCAGTTGCCTTCCAATCGTTAAGTTGCACAGTTGATCCCATATAGTCTATTTTGGTTTTGGCAATCAGATAACATCATTATTGATCACACCAACATACATGAACCTGTCTGCTAAGTTATCTTAAATCAGCTAAATTACTCGATATTTATCTGCAGTCCTTTCATTGATTTCCAATTCACTTTTGTATTTCTGATCGTTTAAATTGTTTTGTTTTGATAGGTTACTGGTCCTTCTCCTACTGATCCATCAAAGATCGTCAATGATCTTTTAATGCCGTGCTCCCCGGGAGATCATGGTGCAATAGAAATGGATTGGAAAAAAGTCCCAAGTGATAAACTTAGAGAGCCTCCAGTTGCTATGGTTTGTTTGTTATTTATTTTTCTCATTCTTAATTTGATTATGAATTTTTTCAGTAGTATAATTCTATATTTTTGTATCTGTTTATCCGTATATGTATAATTTTATGACAATTCACTATTTAGCGTAGAAATTAGTGAATATCAATTATGGTTGTCTAATAGAAATGAAAGTGTTGTTAATATAACAATAATGTGAAATGATATACTCACATTAACCCGTATGAGTTGTGTTAATATGTCTGTGGGGTGTATAGAGCTTTCTCTCTATCATTAAAACAGGATACAGATTTTGTCTAATTTTGTGGAAATAAAAGTCACTATCATCAAATTTGTATTTCGTTATTTTATACAATAGAAAAGTCATGTAACTTGTTCCATTAATGTTTTTTTAGAGCAATAATTGATGCTTATACCATATGAACTTTTACAAAACTACTATACACGTAATTAAACTATTATATGAATTATTCATAACAGTGTTAAACCGAATACACAAACCTAAGTTGACAGTCTTCGTAGAGACAACCCTTTTTTCAAATGCATAAATATCGAACACCGGTAAATTTTCGCATTTGCATTTACTGAAGTGTGTAACTGGATTTCAGTAACTGACTTTCCAGAAGTACGAGAAATATTGTTAACTGGATCAAACCTAAAGAATCTGTTGAAAAATTTAAGCTTAAGATCAAGCTAATGGTCATAAGTTAGTCGTTAATTTTCAAAAAAAACTTGTTCTCATATCTAAAACATAGAATTGTCGGGAATTTCTAAGATTGTTAAGTTTATGATTTCAGACTAAATAATTATCACTTTTTAGTGGCTCTGTAATATCTGACTCCATTTTGATCGTGTAATTATCGTTATCGACTTACACATATCGTCAATCCTCGTACATAATTATTAACTTAAATCGCGTTGGTGAATGACGGAATTAAATAAGTTAACTATGAGAATGAAGTTTTGAATCTGTATATTTTGTACAATCGTTGATCAGAACAGACAATCAGAGAGACGGAGCGAAGGGAAACGTAGTCGGCTCACATACCTTCTCCAATCCATTTCGCATCGCTCTCTTCGCTCCGTCTCTCTGATTGTCTGTTCTGATCAACGATTTTACAAAATATACAGATTCAAAACTTCATTCTTATATTTAACTTATTTAATTCCGTTATTCATTGACGCGATTTAATTCACTAATTATATACGAGGATTGACGATATGTATAAGCCGACAACGATAATCACACGATCAAAATGGAGTCAGATATTACAGGGCCACTAAAGTGGTAAGGCTAACATGATCCGAATACGCAGCCTTCCAATCTGTAGTCAGATATAGAGTCACCAAAACTTATTGCATATTTTATTAAAAAATGTTTATTTATTTGTGATACATTTATTACACTAGTAAGTTAATCATCACTTATATTGATACTGGTACAGTTTTGATCCAAAAAAGTTCTTAATTCTTTGTTTATTTCCTTTTGCTTTACAGCATGATATGTTGAGTTCATTAGAACGAAATAAGCCAACTGTAAATGCTGAAGATTTAGCAAAACATCGTAAATTTACAGATGAATTTGGACAAGAAGGATCTTGAATTTTTCTCTCCAGAAAAATGTTCCATTATTCAACTTCTTTGTTTAAATAAATTTTTAAAATCACATTTTTGATTTGTCTCTTTCTTTCTTTCAGAAGTTACTATATATATATATATATATATATATATATATATATATATATATATATAATTTCGTCTCCGATAATGACTTATTATTTCCCCCTCTGTGTCTATACTTTGAAATCGTATTGTTATTTATTTTCTCCCTCCTCTCTCTACACCCATCTTCAGTGTTATATATAGTTGTGGATATACATATAAAATAGCTATTTGCCACTCTTAACCTTCTAAATAATATGTCGTCCTGTGTTTCATTATAACTTAACTGCGATGAATTACAATCTCCATTTTGAATAAAAGTATTCGTTGAATGATGAAAAAAGTAATTTACAACCATGTGAACTGAACATCGAAAGCTGACTGCCTATATGTGCTACATTCTAATCTGTCGAATAACGAACTTATTTATACATACAGATAATATTGTTGTGTATGTGCGTGTTTGTGCATACTATACACGTTTCTATATGCTGCACTTATTTTTTTTCGAAAAAATATGAGACGATTAAAATATTTCAAGCGCAGTTTCCATGTATCATATAGAAGTGCTTGATTGGATAGCTGTAAAATTTGTGTTCAAGTGACTAACTTACCTTGGAGGTTTGTTTCATCTTTTGCACCGTTTATACGGACCTCTTGATATATAATGTTGAGTATATTTTTCATTTAGTCTTATAATTTTCATTTGATAATAAAAAAAATAAATACATGTTATGATTGCTTTGTTGCCTGTAATTAATGTTAGTGGATACAAGCATTAGTGATTGTATTATGAATAATCTAGATGTCTCTTACGTAATCTACGTGCAATCACGTTTATATAGTTGCTGTGATTTCGCGTCTAGTTTGTATTCCGTCATTATGCTAGTTTGTGTCGTATTTACTACTTTATTGAAATTATAATTTTGTTGAAATAGACATTGAGGTATTGGAAATCTTTATGGGTTTAGACGGATGCAAGATGATCGGCTGCCTATAAATATTTTTCTAAATGATAGCGCGAAAGACCACTGGTTAGTTTTCATTTGATAAAAGTAAGCAGTCTATTAAATGAATTTTGATTGCGGCCTGCTTGAGCATCTGGGCTACCTGTTCCTGCCATCTAGACATTTGATCAAGTTATCTAGTTTTGTTTGTTTTAATATATCATTATGTCTATTAATCACATGATGTATTCTGCTGCGTTTCTGAAAAGTGTACAACCTTTCGTTGTCAAAGTTACAAAAAGCTCAATAAGAGACAATGCGGTTGCTGGCAATATACAACGAAAAGAATGTACATCACTCAGATGTTCATTTACTGGACTGCTAACAACTAACTGGCGATCACTCAATATTTATCGCCAGGACCGACCAAGAAGAAAGAAACGGAAACTTGTTGAAATACTTTGCACTGAGAATTCTATATTGTACCAAAAATATAATATTGAATAGAGCTAATGATAATAATAATAATAATAATAAACGATAGATTATAGAAGCAATTCGAACATAAATAAGTAAACTGATGAATATGTTAACTGAACCAGTCACAATGTAAGTCTGATATCGACACAGCGCCCCTTGTCATAGTTATGAATATTGCGAGCACTTAATAAATGGTAGATAAATAGGGACTGACTATTCGCTTCCAAAAGTCAACAACCTCAGTAATCAAAAAGGACTATTTGGACTAACTAGGCTTAAATAGTGTTTATTTCGGTCTGTAAGGTGAAGCACAAATCTGATCACAGATTACAAAGTTTTAGCAATGCAGTCCCTTAAATCTTATATCATTCAGCACTTAACTAACTTGAGAACAGTGCTTCAGGGATATTTTTATAAGTTCTCAGCTCGATCCTAGAACCAACTATGTCCTTATCTAAACTGGAAGTAATTAGATTCTGTCGACCAGAGAATGTGCCTTTTTCATTTATGGATGTATGTAGAGTTGTCATAAAACGTTACTGAATTTATTTCCATCCAGGGATATGCACTGTCATAATCCCTGTTTAAGTTTACTTAGATTTTCAGGTGACCCATATTAATAAAACTATCAAAAATAATCTATGTGAATCTTCACATTCACTGCGTTTGCAGCTGAGAAGTGTTAGTCTCCCACACAGTTCCAGTAACACTCGAGCTCACTAAGTACACCATCAACCTAATTCTCTTAGGATTTCTCCTATCCGTGTTCCCAACCATTTATTATTTAAAATAGTGGCTCCAGCTGGAGCACATAAAATATCACACTTTTTTGAACCATTTCAATGACGTGTTGATTGAGATTAGGAACCTTCACTTACTGAGATGTCTATAGATCACGTTACTCATGTCCAATCGGGACCAGTCGATAAGTTGACTAGGATAGAAGTGAATTGGGAAGAATACTAGAATGTGACGGTCTGAAAAGTCACTGACCATTTACTTAAGTCATCTGAAAAGGCGCAAATTCGGTAATTGGGATCCATCAGATAATCATACTTTTATCATAAGAAACTAGGTGATTTGGCTAGAGATCAATTGTAGAAGTTTAGATTTGCTCATCCGCATCTATAATTATTAAATCTATCATCTAATTCTCGTTCTTATTTCTTTCCTGATCCTTCCAACCTAGAATATACATGTGACGAACAGAATTGTCTGTTATACATATTGGACGAAGTTTATTAAGTCAATGTGCTGGTGGATTTTACATTCGTAATTAGATTGAAGGCATCAATTCTAATTTGATTTTTGTAGCTAAAATAATATTAATGCATTTATTTAAACCAAAAGGTACTTAATAACTTTCGCTTATTTCTATAATTTGGTTATATTTTCTGCCGTTGGGAAGTTTTAACACGTTCCATATTTTTGGATTTACGTCTATTACTCTTCTAAATCTGTTCACATCAGATTTAATTAATATTATTAATACTGTTGCGGTGATTTTATTCAGATATTTCGACCTGAATAACTTTCTGCTCAGTTATGTATGGATCAGAACTAGTGTCTTTACTTATGCATTCAGGAGTATTTTTCTCCCTGGATTTTAAGGAAGGGAAATAATTCCATAAGGAAAATATTTTGTAATCAGTGATCACGTCAGTTTAAGGTACTTTGTTAATTATTGTTCTGTATGTAAGTTACGTCCCATTCTCTTAGTGACTACAAAAACAACGAATTTCTAACAATTTTTTGATGCGATCTGATTAGGCTCAGAGAATAGATGCACGGTATCCGTTTGTACTGACGAAATTTATGTCATCACACAGATCCTGTAGTTCAATGATGAACTGGTTGACAGTTCGTTACTTTAAGATAATTTGGATTGAGATAACTAAATACTATTTTTATGATTATTCTAGTTGATTCATCAGACATGATCATATTTGGTCTTTGCATTAGGACTGTTAAAGATGCTGTATAACGCGGTTATGGTATACTTTTGGTTGCACCTAAGGTTTAATCCGTGCTGATCACGTTTTAAAGAACCTGGTTGATATCTAATTCTCCTTAAAACTAGTATCAAATTACCTTGTTAGGTGTATTTATAATTGTTAATGAAAGCTTTAGATCTGGTTAAGCATTCGGCTTTTAGCTATTAAGTTGCAGCTTCGAAACTACTTCACTTAGTTTGGTTTGGGTTACTGGGTAATATAATTATACATTAAATTTAGGATATGACTTAGAACTGGGTATATAAATCAGAATCTATGTGATGAGCTAAAAAAAACATGAAAAGAAAATAATTGCTTACTTACTCCTGTTAACCCCCGTCGAGGAGCATAAGCCGCTCACCAGCATCCTCCATCCCAATATGTCCTGGACAATTCTCTTCATTTAATTTCAGTTGAAGATTCTGACTTTGATATTGGTTGATAGTTGTTTTGAGTTCCGTATGTTCTTCAACTATAGGAATGCTGTCCTTGCTTTGCCAATCTTTGCCTTTACGTCTGCATCGGTTCCTTTTTGTTCATCGATGATGAGGTTGGTGAAAGCTTACACTTCTTCCAGAGTTTCACCATCAAGTGTGGTTGGGTTGGTGTTCTCCGTATTGTATTTGGTGATCTTGTTTTTTCCCTTGTGCATTTTGAGGCCTACTGATGCAGAGACTGCTGCTACACTGGTTGTCTTCATCTGCATTTGTTGGTGTGTACGGGATAAAAATGCCAGGTCATCTGCGAAGCTCAAATCGTTTAGTTGATTCCGAGCTGTCCATTGTGTTCCGTGATTTCCCTCAGATATCGAGGTCATAATGCAGTCAACCACCAGAAGAAAGAGGAAGTGGGAGAGTAGACAGCCTTGTCTGACTTCGGTCCTAATTTAGAATGCGTCTGTCAGCGGTCCTCCATGCACCACTATGCAGTGTAGTCCGTCGTATGAATTCTGGTTGATGTTGACAACCTTCTCAGCTACCTACAACGTTGTGTAGAAGAACATTCCATAAGGTCCTCTTATCCATACTGTCAAACATTCGTTCATAATCGAGAAAAATGATGTATGGTGACGAGTTCCATTCAACTGATTGTCCAACAATCATCTTTAGTGTTGGGTTTTGGTCTGTATGCGTCCGATCATTACGGAATCCATTCTGTTGATCTCGAGGTTGGGCGTGTAGAGTTTTTCGTTCGGTTCAACAACACTTTCTTGAAGATGGTCGCTCAACTCCGTGGATTGGTTGGGGTTAGATATTAACACCATTGAATGCCGGCTCAGTGACCCAGTAGGTTAAGCGTTCGCGCTCGAGACTGAAGGCTCTGAATTCGAATCCTGCGAGCGGGATCGTGGGTGTGCCCTGATGAGAAGTCCCACAATGAGACGAAGCGGCCGTCCAGTGCTTCCAGGTTTTCAAGGTGGTCTGACATCAATCGGTTCATGATCTCGATCAAAAACTTGACAATCTCCACAACCCCTAAACAGAAATTTTTTGATTAGTTCTCATACTCACTGAGATCT